TCTAGGAGATGACCCCTAAGGTGTTGGATGGGAAGTTTTTTTTTTTTTAGTTTTGTATGTATGTGTAGTATTATTTTCCTGAATTCATGATTAACTCCATTAGAAGAGTCAAATTAGATTTTAGAACTAAATAGAAAAATACCCAAAAAATATTACTTGTATTAAAAAAATGATGTTTATAAACATAGACATATTATATAATTTCAAAAAGTAAAGCCATCATATGAAAAACACAACCTAGTCATATCAAAAAAAAAAAATACGTCTCAATGCTATCAAATGACCTTCTAAGACATCAAGAAAAATCCAATGGCTCATTATGATCTCTAAAATTTAAAGCTCATAAAGTAGGTCTATCTTTAAAAGCCTTACTATTCATATTTATTAATAGTATTAGAAAAGATTTATTCATTTTTCTTTTAACCTTTTTACCCATTATATCACTTATCCAAGTGTTAAAATCATGCATTTTACATATTTTAAGGAATGAACAAGATTTTGTTCAAACATATTCCAATTTTGAAATCGTTAACTGATATCCTTAGCAAAAAGAATGAATCAAATCAGAACTCAAATTATGTATAAATTAAAATATTCATATAAAATTAAGTCATTCTATATTATAAAAGAATTAGGCTATATAAATGTTGAAATGAATTCTCAATAAAATGTTCGACCTCTATTATCATCAATTCCATTTATACAAAAATATCTGAACTTTAAATTTACCAAAATGCTTACGATACTTTTCTCGAATTTTTGCAGTATTTAACTTAAATTAAAGTAATAGAAATTCAATAATAAAAAGAAAAAAGATGGGGTGCTCTTTTTAAAAGAAGGAAGCTCTGGGTTAAAAAACACAGCTTTTTCCAACGGGAGCTGACATCTTGGATTAAGTAAAAGATGTCGATAAAAAGCTATTTGGTGTCATATTAGAAATATTAAGAAAGGACAGATTTAAAGATTGCATTGAATTTCTATCAGATAAAGGGAATCAGAGACAATTAGAATCATAAATCTTATAACAAGCAGGGAATTTCACCAAAGGTGATACATAATAGGATTTGTCTGATATAAGAAAAGATATGAAATTAATTACAGATGTCTTAAAAAAATTAAAAGATCATGACATCAACAACAAAGACTTTTCCTCTAAAGAAAATGAAGAATCTAAATTAATTCTAATTAATAGTATCAAGGATAATAAATAGATCATAGAATTTTTGGAATTTTTAGTTCACCTTACAGCTATAGATGGCACTTAAATTTAATGTGGATCTAATTCATTACATACCTTAGTTTAGATGAAGGTGGATCTCAGGAACTAGTCCTTAGAGAATATCAAGATCAAGAATACTTCTTTAATTGGTGGTAACTTTACTAGATGCAACTTGAGTGGATCTGTATTTGAGAATGTAGATATTAGCGGAGTCAACTTGAATGGTGCTTAACTGTTAAATTGTAAATGGAAGAACATTAAGATCCATGAGTTGAATAAATTAGATGGTCATCGTCATTGGGTCAAATCAGTCTGTTTCTCTCATGATGGAAATACATTAGCTTCTGGTAGTCATGATAACTCTATACGTCTTTGGGATGTCAAAACTGGATAATAAAAAGCCAAATTAGATGGCCATAGTAATGATATTAGCTCAGTTTGTTTCTCACCTGATGGAAATACATTAGCATCTTGTAGTCATGATAACTCTATCCGTCTATGGTATGTTAAAACTAGAAAGAAAAAGGCCAAATTAGATGGTCATACTAGTTATGTCTCCTCAGTCTGTTTCTCTCCTGATGGAAATACATTAGCTTCGGGTAGTGATGATTACTCTATCCGTCTATGGGATGTCTAAACAGGATAATAAAAAGCCAAATTAGATGGACATAATAATTTAGTTATGTCAGTCTGTTTCTCACCTGATGGAAATACATTAGCTTCTGGTAGCGATGATAAGTCTATCCGTCTATGGGATGTGAAAAAAGGATAATAAAAAGCCAAATTAGATGGTCATACTCATTATGTCAACTCAGTCTGTTTCTCTCCTGATGGAAATATTTTAGCATCTGGTAGTGAAGATGAGTCTATCCGTCTATGGGATGTCTAAACAGGATAATAAAAAGCCAGATTAGATGGTCATAGTAATTTAGTTATTTCAGTCTGTTTCTCTCCTGATGGAAATACATTAGCTTCTGGTAGTAATGATAACTCTATCCGTCTATGGGATGTCAAAACAGGATAATAAAAAGCCAAATTAGATGGTCATACTAGTTATGTCTACTCAGTCTGTTTCTCTCCTGATGGAAATACATTAGCTTCTGGTAGTAATGATAACTCTATCCGTCTATGGGATGTCAAAACAGGATAATAAAAAGCCAAATTAGATGGTCATACTAGTTGTATATTGTCAGTCTGTTTCTCTCCTGATGGAAATACATTAGCTTCTGGTAGTCATGATAAGTCTATCCGTCTATGGGATGTCAAAACAGGATAATAAAAAGCCAAATTAGATGGTCATACTAGTACTGTCTACTCAGTCTGTTTCTCTCCTGATGGAAATACATTAGCTTCTGGTAGTGATGATAAGTCTATCCGTCTATGGGATGTCAAAACAGGATAATAAAAAGCCAAATTAGATGGTCATACTAGTACTGTCTACTCAGTCTGTTTCTCTCCTGATGGAAATACATTAGCTTCTGGTAGTGATGATAAGTCTATCCGTCTATGGGATGTCAAAACAGGATAATAAAAAGCCAAATTAGATGGTCATACTAGTTGTATTAACTCAGTCTGTTTCTCTCCTGATGGAAATACATTAGCTTCTGGTAGTGATGATAAGTCTATCCGTCTATGGGATGTCAAAACAGGATAATAAAAAGCCAAATTAGATGGTCATACTAGTTGTATATTGTCAGTCTGTTTCTCTCCTGATGGAAATACATTAGCTTCTGGTAGTAATGATAAGTCTATCCGTCTATGGGATGTCAAAACAGGATAATAAAAAGCCAAATTAGATGGTCATACTAGTTGTATTAACTCAGTCTGTTTCTCTCCTGATGGAAATACATTAGCTTCTGGTAGTGATGATAAGTCTATCCGTCTATGGGATGTCAAAACAGGATAATAAAAAGCCAAATTAGATGGTCATACTAGTTGTATTAACTCAGTCTGTTTCTCTCCTGATGGAAATACATTAGCTTCTGGTAGTGATGATAAGTCTATCCGTCTATGGGATGTCAAAACAGGATAATAAAAAGCCAAATTAGATGGTCATACTAGTTGTATTAACTCAGTCTGTTTCTCTCCTGATGGAAATACATTAGCTTCTGGTAGTGATGATAAGTCTATCCGTCTATGGGATGTCAAAACAGGATAATAAAAAGCCAAATTAGATGGTCATACTAGTTGTATTAACTCAGTCTGTTTCTCTCCTGATGGAAATACATTAGCTTCTGGTAGTGATGATAAGTCTATCCGTCTATGGGATGTCAAAACAGGATAATAAAAAGCCAAATTAGATGGTCATACTAGTTGTATTAACTCAGTCTGTTTCTCTCCTGATGGAAATACATTAGCTTCTGGTAGTAATGATTACTCTATCCGTCTTTGGGATGTCAAAACCGGATAATACAAAGCCAAATTGGATGGTCATAGTAATGGAATCTTGTCAGTCTGTTTCTCTTATGATGGAAATACATTAGCTTCTGGTAGTCGTGGCTACTCTATCCGTCTATGGGATGTCAAAACAGGATAATAAAAAGCCAAATTAGATGGCCATACTTCTTATGTCTACTCAGTCTGTTTCTCTCCTGATGGAAATACATTAGCTTCTGGTAGTAGTGATAACTCTATCCGTCTTTGGGATGTCAAAAAAGGATAATAAAAAGCCAAATAAGATGGTCATAGTGATTGGGTAATGTCGTTTAGTTTATCTCCTGATGGAAATACATTAGCTTCTGGTAGTGCTGATTACTCTATCCGTCTGTGGGATGTGAAAACAGGATAAGAAATTAAATCCTCTGATAAGAACTACAAAGATATTCTTGCATAATTTAAGATTCCACTCTAATAAAATTGTCCATTTTAAGAAGGTAATATTCATTTTTTTTATATTTTTAGCCTCCAATTACATTACCACACTCCTTATATCTTAATAGGCAATATTTTAAGCATAAGGAGCACTAATTTTTAGAGGAGAGTTTATCAATCAATCAGGTATAGATTTAAAGACATTGTTTAAACAAAAGGGTAGCTGTATTTTGGAAAACCAATTACACTGCAATAAAAAATGAAAATGATTAACATGTTAACATAATTTTTATATACATATATATATCAATTAAATCATCTATCAAAGCTAAAAAAAATGTCTAAAAATATAAAAAAAATATTTAAAACATATTAAAATCTCATTATTAACAAAAAATTGACTCCAAAATACCAAAAATTGGTCAAAAATACTAAAAAATAAGCAAAAAGTATTTAAAACATATCAACAACCTCAAAATTAAGTAAGAAATCACCAACAAAAACACTCAAATAACATAATTTATACAAAAAACAACCAAAAAATCAATCAAAATAATTCAATAATAAAAAAATCCCAACTCAATATTATTGCTATTACAATTATATGTACTTATTTTTTATGGCCCTTACAATCGTAGATAGTTATCTAGGTATTAAACATTATAAATAATTTGAGATGAATCCAATTTGTGATTTAGCGTGTAGCTACAAAAAAATGTTTCTAGAGGGCGAGAAGTTGATTTCAAGAGTACTCCGCTTTCTCTATCAAATGCAATATTTATTTTGCTAATATCATTTTATTATTACAAAGTCATAAATGTTTTTCACAAGTGAAAACTTTTCATTCAGGAATTACATTTTTTTTTTATATAAACCTTTTTTTTAAATAAAATTCCCCAAATCCACATGCCAAATAGTGAGATCTTCCCTATCAGATTAAAATTCAGCTTTCTGATTATAATATTAGTATTCTATTGAAACCAACCTCAAAATAAAGCTTCGATGCATAGGATGCCATATATTAAGGCCAACCAAACCATAGAAGTTTTTTTTTCTAAGAACAAACAATTTTTGTACTTTTCTACTCAAATTATTCAAAAATTTTTAAATAATTATTATTTTACAATGTTTTCTCTTAATTTCTCAGTATAATCAAAATATTTTTCAGTTTTTTTTTGATTCATAAATGTTATTAATTTAAAATACTTTGGTTGTTAATTGTGGCTTTTTTTCCAAAACTCTCCCTTAAATAGTAAGTTAATTGAAGATACTTTCTATGATCAAATTAAATACCCAAAAAATAATAATACAATTTCAACACATTTTTCTTCTTTTCAACCATTTCCACTGTAAATTCCACTAGCTAATTGTATATTTCCACATTTTATATTATACTATCTAATCAAAATTATTTTTCATCTATAGCTCAATTTCATGTTGATAATATCCTCTAAGTCAAGTCTCCATTTTTCCGTTCTTTCCCATAAATAATTAGAATCATGTTTAACTTTTCGATCAATTTACAGTTAAACCTAAAATACTAACGATGATTTCTATAAATTAATAGAAAATTGAACTGGAATATAATATATATCGGGAAATTTTAAATAGTAGTTTTTCTACCTTATCTTTCATAATTCTCTCTTCTCCTCTTCTATATCTCTTTCTCTCTCCTTACAACATACAAACACACATAGATTTTTTTTTCTCTTCTCTTTTTTGGTTAATTTAATTATTAAGAAGTATAGTGGATCCAATTTGAAGTAGGGTTTAGATTTTACTTTTTGGCTAGGAACTAGATTTGTCTTCTTCTTTGAGGGAGGAAAATGGAATACTTTCAACTCCGATAATTCAATTTCAACAGAAATAAAGAAGCATTTGTTTATTTTTTTTACCTTTGTCAATACTCCCTAAGAAAGAAAGTTTTAGATTTAATAACGTAACTTAAAACTCTCAATATAATCTTCCTAAGACTTGAGAGTATAGAGAGATTAAAATGGGATGGGTATTTCTTTTTCTTTCCCCAGAAAAATATCAAAATGGGAAATTAAATATTGGTACGGCTTCCCCAACTTCTTTAGGGAGAATGTAAGTATTTCAGTCCATCTTTATCTCTCTCTATTTTTCTGTCCAATTGAGCTGATCAAGGAAAATCTTCAGTGCCCTCTGCTTACCAAAGTCTTTCATTTATACTTATGTATTATTTTCTCTATAAAGATATATAAGACTGTGCAATTGCAGATATTATTGTTAATTGTGAAATCTTTTTTTTAATTAATCTTTAGCTCCAGGCGCTATATGCATATCAAAACATTATTTAATTAAGTGTTTAGTATTTTTTTTAGATTTTTGTTTGTGTTGTTGTTTTTTTTGATATTTTATTGTTATTGTTGTTAATTTAATTGTGATAGTTGTTGCTGTTAGTTAGTTTTTTGTTTGGTTTAACCTTCCCTCTGAAAATGTTTGGGATTTAATTTCTAAAACTATTATAACATATATTTACTTATTTATTAAACTGTTTTTATTATAAATAATAAATTTGGAAACTTAATCAGCCCTTTGAGTTTTCTATTCTAACGTTTCCAATAATGGAAATTAAAGATAAACCCCCTTGATTTTATAACTATTCTAATATCTTTTAATATCAAAGGATAATTTATCCATCCAAGGAACTGCGACAGCAACAGCTAATTTGGATTTCAATCCCCCCAGACCATTTCTTCTCTCTTACTTTTTTTCTCTCTCTATTTTTCTATGTCGCTTTTCATCCAGCATTGCTCTCTTAATATTTCTACCTAAATCTATATTTTGATATTTTTACTCCTATTCTTTTTGGATCTGCACTTCTGATAATCTTATATTTATCCAATTTCAAATTAAAGAAGCAGGAAATTAATAATATTGAAAGTCAATAGGTATATAGAATTTGTTGCAAAATTATTTTCATACATTTTTTTTTAATTTCAAATTAACTATGAACTTATATGGTAGAAGAAGTAAGCATTAATATTTTATTAACGATAAATTTAATTTTCCTAGTATCGAATTCTTATAGAAGCATTTCATTTATTAATATATTACTTAATTTTATCTTATATTCTCACTCTCACAAGTTTTGGTATCGTCTTTAAAAAACAATAAATCTGATGTTTATGTTAATAAAAACTTTATATATATTGATATTTAAATTTGTTTTATTGGTTAGTATGTTTGAATGTTTTATGATTAAAAACAAATTGTGAAATTAGATACTCTTCGATTGATTATTCTCTCTTGATTACTATTTTTAGAAATAAAAAATATCTTGCATCCATTAATTCAATTTTATTTGACTTCAATCCTAATGGTTTATCATTTTTAAAACATATTTTGCACAAATTTATCTCAAACTTGTTTAATTTAAACTCCCACCCTATTTGTTTTCTTCATAATTAGATATCTAATCTAAGAAATTTTATTTTAAACATTATAATGAAAATTCAGTTGATAATTAATATATTTTATAAAAATAATATATAAATAGAATCCAATACTATTTACAATTTTCCAAGCTAGCAAAGAAAAAAAAAACAAGTCAACCCTCGTCTTGCAAAATGCCCAACAACACTATCGAAAACAATCGGGCAATCACCAAGCAACAGACAGTAAACTCAAGTTACAAGTGAGTAAAAATATGGAATCCCTTGATCAAGGTCCTCATATTTGGTAAAAGAAAAGTGACCCTTTAAGTTAATACTAAAATTATTCGTGAATCAATAAATTTCCTTTGATTTATTTAAAACTACTTAATTTAGGCTACATTACTTCGCTCCTCTAATCATTTTACAATCAATAAACCCTATATCAACCAGGGGTACATAGGGGAAGGCAGTAAAAAGAAGAGAAAAAATTATTTAGGCAAATGGTACAGTAAACCATTAATATGAAGGCGAGTAATAATCTACTCTTGCTTCATGTATGCTCTTTTTGTAAACAAAAATAAAATATTTCAGACTGAAATCCTATGTTGCATATAATTTCACTTATACAAGTCTTAAAATTAATTAGAAAATAATGATATTTAAAGTAATATATCTAGAAATATCTTTTCACTAAAACCTCATATCAGGTTATTAATTAAAATGTTTAAGTGTTTTTTAGGGTAATTCTCTATTTAAATTGAGAGAATAGCCATTATCACTTAAATTTTAAGATTATTTCAGATATTCTACTTCCAATTAAAAAAATCACAACTGTTTATGCCTAAAATTAGGATTAACGAGAAAGATGAATGATCATAAATAGCTATTTATGTTTAAGTTAAAAAATAAAATTATTCATAGAAATCATTTTTTTTGTATTATTAAGTATAAAGCAATTCAAATTAAAAATTGATTTCTCTAAAGCAGAGTTTACGTCAAATATAATCAACTACAAATCTGCAGATAGTCTCATCTTCTACCTTACAAATATACTTAAGTTATATTTTTTAAATTTTAGTATAAGACTGGAAAAAAAGAAAATGAATTTCAATATTTAAAAATAATAAAATGAATTGCAAAGGTGAATAGATAGATGATCTATTTGAGCTTTTTGTTTCAGTTAAAGATGTTGATGAATAAATATTCAGTGTGATAATTGAAATTTTTAGAAAAGAGAAAATTTAAGACTGTATAGGATATCTTTCAGTTAATGAAAACAGCAGATATAATGAATAATTCATTTTGCAATTAGAAAATTTAACATTAATTGATAATGAATATAAGTTAAATGTTGTAACAAATAACATTTAGATAATTTCTAATTTTCTCAAATAAATTAAGGATCATGATTTTAATTAAAATGACTATTCAACCGAAATTTATTTGAAGGCTAGATAAGATTTAATCTAAAATATATCGCATGAAAAGAATATAATTTAATTTTTGAAATTTCTAGTTTATCTCACAACTATAGATAACAGATTATTATAATGTGGATCAAATTCATTAAATTTATTAGTTTAAACGAAGGTTGATCTGACTAAACATTGCTTTGAGAATATCAAGATTAAGAATACTTCTTTAGTTGGTGCAAATATGTTAAGATGTAATTTAAGTGGATCAGAATTTGAAAATGTAGATATTAGTGGAATGAATTTAAATGAGGCATAATTATTTTATTGTAAGTGGAAGAACTTATAAATACATGAATTATATAAATTAGTTTGTCATGATAGTTTGGTCTACTCGGTATGCTTCTCTCTTGATGGCACTACTTTAGCATGTGGTAGTGAGGATAAATCTATACGTTTATGGGATGTTTAGACAGTATAATAAAAAGGCAAGTTAGATGGTCATACTAGTGGAATCCTATCAGTATGCTTCTCTTCTGATGGTACTTCAATAGCATCTGGTAGTGATGATAAGTCTATCCGAATATGGGATGTGATGACAAGGAAAAAAAAATAGAAATTAATTGGTCATAATGAGAGTATCAACTCAGTATGCTTCTCTCCTGATGGTACAACATTAGCATCTGGTAGTGGGAGTTTTTTTGTAGTGGAGATAACTCTATCCGTTTATGGGATGTTAAGACAGGATAATAGAAAGCCATATTGGAGGGTCAGAGTATATGTGTCAATTCTGTCTGCTTCTCTCCTGATGGTAGTATATTAGCATCTGGTAGTGGAAGTTCCTTTGATAGTGAAGATAACTATATCTAATTTTGGGATGCGAAGACAAGATAATAAAAAATCCAATTAGATTGTCATACTAGTTATGTTTAATCAGTAACCTTTTCTCATGATAGTGCTACATTGGCATCAGGTAGCTAAGATGGCATCGTCCGTTTATGGGATGTTAAGACTGGATAATAAAAAGCCAAATTTGATGGTCATTCTAAGGTAGTCCTATCAGTATGCTTCTCTTTTGATGGGGATATATTAGCATCTAGTAGCGCGGATAACTTTATCTTCTTATGGGATGTTAAGACAGGATAGCAGAAAGCTAAATTAGAGGGTCATAGTGATACTGTCCGCTCGATATGCTTCTCTCCTGATGGTACTACATTAGCATCTGGTAGTTTGGATAAGTGTATTCGTTTATGGGATATTAATGCAGGATAATAAAAAGGCAAATTTGATGGTCATATAGATTCAGTTCTATCAATATGCTTCTCTCCTGATGGTACTACATTAGCATCTGGTAGTGGAGATAACTCTATCCGTTTATGGAATGTGAAAACAGGATAATAAAAAGCTAAATTGGATGGTCATAGTGGAACTGTTTATTCAATATGCTTCTCTCCTGATGGTACTACATTAGCATCTGGTAGTTTTGATAAGTGGATTCGTTTATGGGATATTAATGCAGGATAATAACAAGCTAAATTGGATGGTCATAGTGGAACTGTTTATTCAGTATGCTTCTCTTCTGATGGTACTACATTAGCATCTGGTAGTTATGATTATACTATCCGTTTGTGGGATGCGAAAACAGGTTTATAAACATTTAAACTTAATGGTCATCAATATTAAGTCAACTCAGTATGTTTCTCTCCTGTTGGCTCTATATTAGCATCTGGTAGTGCGGATAGGTCTATCCGTTTTTGGGATGTTAAGACAGGATAATAAAAAGCTAAATTGGATGGTCATAGTGGAACTGTTTATTCAGTATGCTTCTCTTCTGATGGTACTACATTAGCATCTGGTAGTGGAGATAACTCTATCCGTTTATGGAATGTGAAAACAGGATAATAACAAGCTAAATTGGATGGTCATAGTGGATCTGTTTATTCAGTATGCTTCTCTTCTGATGGTACTACATTAGCATCTGGTAGTAGAGATAACTCTATCCGTTTATGGGAAGTGAAAAAAGGATAATTAAAAGTCAATTTATTTGGTCATGATGGAATTGTCTACTCAGTTTGCTTATCTCCTGATAATACTATATTAGCCTCTGGAAGTTATGATAACTCTATCCGTTTATGGGATATTCAGACAAGAATAGAAATTTACAACATGAATAAAAACTATGAAGATATTCTCGAATAATTTAAAAAAACCCTATTTAACAAAAATCTTCTTCCAGGTATATATCTTTTAACATTAATTAGTCGCAGCTCATATAACTATACTCTTGATTTCTCGAACACCCTTATTTTAAGCATAAGGAGCTTTAGTCCTTCAAGGATAATTTGTCAATTAATAAGGTGTAGATTTAAGATCATTATTAAAATCTAAAGGAAGTTTTTTTTTGGATAGCTAAATATAATTTTAGTGCTAGTAAAATTGATTATTATCAAAAAAATTAATATATTAAAATATCAATTTTTATTTATGTAAGAAGATGCGAAATTGTTATTAAATTTAGAACTTATTTATTCACCCTTGTAAACTTTTCTACTCTAAAATTTTTCACATTCCACTCTAGTTCAAAGAATAATTAATTAATTGTTTGATTACTAGAACTAATAATTTATGAATTATTATTAAAGTTTTAGAAATTAATTACTAAATTGCTTTGATTCCAATAACCTATTCAATTTAAATACAGTCGAATATTAGCATATTCATTTCATTTTTTACTTATGGAGAGTCTAATACTGATATTTTAAATTTAGAAGAAGAGATAATAAGGCAGAAACGAGAAAATATAGAAAATTAAATGAAATTTTTTTATGATATATCAAAAATACCAAACTTCAAAAGTTTCAATATCCTTAGCTAAAATCATCGCCGCTCTTATCAGTCAGATAGCACAATACATCATCATTCAAAGCAACTGAAGGTTAACTAGTAAAATATCGAAATTAAATAAGGTATAGATGTCTAAACAACCTTCTAAGTTAAAACAGAAATAGATTCAAATCATTACAATAGTGCAATAAAAAAAATAAAATCATCAATTTATTGATGACCATGTCCTATTTACAATAATTCCCAAAATTTTTAACTTCATAATATTTATGCAACCATAAACATTTATTAATATGTGACAATTAATTCAATTACAATAAGAAAATAAGTAAAATATCAGCAGCTCTAAGACTAAATCATCAATAGAAAAAGTAAGAAATATATTCATCTAATATAAATTGCTAGACCCACTAAACCAATTATTCAAACAAAAATAGAAGATATAAATTCTGTTAAGGAAAGAAATTCAAAGATACAATAAAACTTATAAAGTAATGAGAAAAAAGTTATTTGGAAAGTCCATTCATAATAAAAAAATAGCAACAGTAAGTATTTAACAAAGATTATGATACCACAATAAATACTAAGATATTAGTATAAGAAGCATTAGAAGAACAACAAATATCATAAATAATAATAAAAGAATAATAATAATTTTTAGAAAACTCATAACTGTATTTACATTCAATTAGAAGAACCCTGTTAAATAAATTATTGATTCCCAATAGTTCTCCTAATTGTTGTTTTAGAACTAATCATGGAAAAAGTGAATGCCTGAATACTTAATGAATAGAAGTTCCTGTCTATTCATGGCTGATAAATCTGTGTGCAACATTAACAAAGAGTTACATGTAAACACATATTGGAATATTATTTAAATATTAACTAAAACAAAGTCAAATAATTCTAAAAAGGGCGTATTAAAAAAAGAAAGACAAATATAAAATAATACCTTTATTTTAGAAGCTTGAACTTAGATATTCCACCAATAATAAAATCGATCAATAAATGATTATTGATTATAATTCAAGTGTTCCTTAAAATGGCTAGTAATTAAATAAATAACAAAGTTTAATTGGAGTTTTGATTACTATAAAATTAATCTTCAAGGTTTTTATGAATGGTTAAATTCATAATATTCAATTATTTCTTTATATCTATTCATTTTCTCTATAACAACAAGTGTTCAATAACCTAAAATCAAGTTTTTGCTGCTGAAAAATGTAACCGACCTGTTATCTTTTCTATCATAATTCCTGTCGTATTTGAATGGCTTTCAGAATTCCCTGTTTGGCTATTGTTAGATTTTCCCTCCAGTCTAAGCCGTAGACAAAAACTCTACATGTGAGTCATAATCCATCGAATAATTTTTAGAGCATTAACTACAAAATTAAGCCCTAACTAAATTCCTCTTATAAATTAATTTATTCATAAACTATAATAAGTTTGCAGTTTCTTCTAAACTTTCTATAATATTTATAAAACGACATAAATTAAATTCATATTAGTTCAAAAATAATTTTTATTAAATATTACAAATATTTAAACTCTATAATCAAGTCACCACTCCATTAGTACTTGAAAAAAATAAAAAGAACCTTTTTAAATTTAAATGTTATCAAGAGCATCCAAACTTATAAAGTCATCTTATAATTTAACTTGCAATCCCATAATAATAAAATTAATTAATTACTTTAAACTAAAAAAGAAATCTTTTAAAGAGAATACAGTTCACTACTTTAAGATTTTATTATTCTCAACATACCTTACATTTAATATTAATTATACTCTCATGATGTAGAAAAATTTAATTTTGCCACTAATTAAATCTTTCATTTCAATTAAAGTCAAATTTTACTAAACATTCTCATAATTGCTTAAAAACTATATAAAGATTTGCCACTAAAATGAAATTATTTTAATTAATGATATTGATTATTTTTTATTATTTGATTTTTTCTTAAAAATATATAACTATTTCCTACACATATAATAAAATATTTTTCCATATGTCAATACTCTTTTTTGATTAATATAAATGCAATCTTTATAGTATAATGTTTATATACTAAAACTCAGGGCCTGTAGATGAAAAGATAGATCTATAATATAAATCCAAAAGCAAGTAGTATTGAATAAAAATGCATAAGGATAGGTTGAAATAAGTATTTTGATTAAAACATTCCTATTTTCTGAAAATAGGAATTACAATTTACCTTTTATATAAAAAAACAATGAAATTTTTTAGTTTATTTTATCATAAAAATTTGTAAATATTTTAATGATGAATAAATTTTTTCTCATATCTATTTCCTTATTAATCGTAATTGCTGATGATTTGAGCTATAATCAAAAAATGTATTGGTTTGAACACTAATTGGTTGATCATTATGATAAATTGAATAAAAATGTATTCCATCAAAGATATTGGGTTGTGGAAGAAAACTTTATCCCAGAAACAGGAGTAGTATTATTTCAGATTTGTGGAGAATATACATGTAAATAAAATAATAAACATAGGTCCTGGAATAATGGAAGAAAGATTGTTCATTATTTAATTGGCTAAAGAGTTTAATGCTTTGATCATAGTGTTGGAACATAGATATTATGGAAAGTCAATGCCATTTGGTAGTGAATCTTTAAAAGATGAAAATCTTCGATATTTAAGCACAAGATAAGCTTTAGATGATTTAGCCTACTTCTAAAGATTCATGGTTTTAAATAAAAAACACGGAATTAGGTCTTAGAATCCTTGGATTGCAATAGGAGGATCATACCCAGGAGCACTTGCAGCTTGGTATAGATATTAATATCCTCACCTCGTTATAGGAGCACTGGCTTCATCTGCTGTAGTGGAATCGATTACTGATTTTAAGATGTTTGATACTTAGATCTATGTATCTGCACTCAAATCTGGACCTTAATGTGCTAAATATATTTAAGATATGAATAAATATGCAGAATAGTAAATACTAAATTAAGCCACAAAGGAAGAATTTAAGCGTTCTTTTGGGGCAGAGAAATTGACTGATTTAGAATTTTTATTCTTTTTTGCAGACGCTTAATTATTAATAATTTAGTATGGAGGCAGATCAGAGTTGTGTATGTAATTAGAAGGCAAAAGCATAACTGAATAGATTGACTATTTTAGATCAGTTATTGAAGTAGGCAGTTTCATGGAATATGGATCATTTTATTTAAAGAATGATGAATATGACGAAAATAATCTAAGCCCTTCAAGATAATGGATGTATTAATGTTGTAGTGAATTGGGTTGGTGGTAAACAAGTCCACTTGAAAACAGTGTAAGATCTTCTTTAATAGATTTATAATTCTATAGAGATTTTTGCAATAGTATTTTTGGTGGAATACAAGCTAATATATTTCCTGATGACTAATTAGCCAATGCAAGATTTGGTGGAAAGAATTTGAATGTAGATAACTTAATAATGACTAATGGAAATGAAGATCCTTGGAAATGGTCTAGTGTGTTAGTTAATTAAGGATCAATATTGGCTTATGAGGTTAATTGTGATAATAGTGGTCATTGTGTTGAATTGTATACACCAAAAGAAGAAGACTGTGAATAATTGAAACAAGTAAGATAGGATATTATTGCACAATTTCGCAAATGGATTTATGATTATTATACATTAATTTAATGATAATGAATATTTTATTTATGAATAAATTCATTTCTCTTAAACTTCTTATTTTTTATATTAATGTTATGTAAATTCTCCTAAAACATTATCTATAATATCTACCTTCTAAAATTTAATTATTTTTCATTGTTAACTTTCCCATCCCTTCAAATATAGCCTCCTGTTTATCATTTATTGCTAAATAACCTTCATATTTATAATCCTAAAATTCTTATTATTTATATGTAATGATGACATTTTTGGGAAAATCATTTTCATAATCCCCTTCAATTTCATACTCTTTATCAATAATGAGCTTTCCTTTTCCTTACCTTTTACCTTTTGAAAAATAACCCTCATATTACCATGTTTTATTGTCATCTTTACCTTATTCTTTTCCAAATCCGTCACGTTCATTTTAAATCCAGTCCCCTTCATAATATGTATCTTAATCTTGAAGGGTATATATGCCTTTTCCTTGAAAAAAATCATTTTCAAATTATCCTTTGTATTATTATTTATTAGAATATTTAATATATCCCTAGCCATGTCGTTTATCTTACTGAAATTCACCAACGTAATAGTCATACTAAATTCCATTATAATAAACCATCAAACCATAACCATCTTTCATTTCATTTTTCCATTATCCTAGATAGTATTCTTTTACTTTTTTATTTAACATCTCTGAATTATTTCCATCAATATAGGATATATATTCCCCAACTGCATCTTTTATTTTAATCTTCACTTCTCCTGTATATATTCCATCATCCTAACTTATAGACACTTAAAAATTATTGGTATTGATTGATTAAAATCTTTAGTCTTCTTTTAAAATTAAATCTCTAATCTCTATAATTTCCTTATTATTGAGCTTACTTACAAATAACTCTTGTTTAATAGATTATTTTTATGCAGAACAACCCATTCCTTCTAATTTTAATAAATAAAGATTATGATAAATAGATAATCTCATCTATTTCTAAAATTAACATCTTCTCCAAAGTTCTATCATGGAGGTTTAAAAGATTAAGATCGAATTTTCACTAATGTTTATCGTGATGGAGATCCTTATATTCAAGGTGCTTTAAGGAGAGTATAATGATCTAAAATTTTAGGGAGATTGGCATAGAACAAAAGACATACTGACAATGGGTTAGGATTGGATTATAGATGAAATTAAAAAAAGTGGATTAAGAGGTAGAGGAGGTGCTGGATTTCCAAGTGGTTTGAAATATTCATTCATGCCAAAAGTTAATCCAGATGGAAGGTAATTATAATGTTGTATTAAAGACCATCCTATTTGGTTATAAATGCAGATGAATCTGAACCAGGAACATGCAAGGATAGAGAAATTTTAAGACATGATCCACATAAATTAGTTGAGGGTGCATTATGTGTAGGATTTGCAATGAGAGCAAGAGCTGCATATATATATTGTAGAGGAGAATTTTGGGTTGAAGCTAATGCCTTACAATAAGCAGTCGATGAGGCTTATAAAAAGGGATTCTTGGGAAAGAATGCCTGCGGTAGTGGATATGATTTTGATGTTTATGTTCATAGTGGAGCAGGTGCATATATTTGTGGTGAAGAAACAGTAATCTATAAAGTAATCTAAAGGGTTTAATCGAATCTTTAGAAGGCAAACCAGGTAAACCTAGACTTAAGCCACCTTTTCCAGCAAATGCAGGTTTATGGGGTTGTCCTACTACTGTTACTAATGTTGAAACTGTTTCTGTTTGCCCAACTATTCTCAGAAGAGGAGCAAATTGGTTCGCTTCATTTGGAAGACCCAATAATAGAGGCACCAAATTATTTTGTATTTCTGGTCATGTCAACAATCCTTGTACTGTTGAAGAAGAAATGTCTATTCCACTTAAAGAATTGATTGAAAGACATTGTGGAGGTGTTAGAGGAGGATGGGATAATCTTAAATGTATAATTCCTGGAGGTTCATCAGTACCTATGTTACCTAAAGAAATATGTGAAACTGTATTAATGGATTTTGATGCATTAAGAGATGTTAGATCAGGATTGGGAACTGCTGCAGTGATTGTCATTGATAAATCCACTGATATTATTGATGCAATCTTGAGATTAAGTAAATTCTATAAACATGAATCATGTGGATAATGTACTCCTTGTAGAGAAGGAACTTCATGGTTGGTTGATTTATTAGAAAGAATGAAAGTGGGGAATGCTGATTTTGCTGAAATTGATTAATTAGAAGTATGTTTCTTTATCTTATCCAAAGGAATTAACTTATTAAATTGAAGGCCATACTATATGTGCACTTGGTGATGCTGCTGCATGGCCTGTTTAAGGATTGATTAGATCATACAGAGAAGAGATAGAAGAAAGAATCGAAGATTATCATTCAAAACATCCAGTTAAAGCTAGACAATTGCGTAGTCATCCATAATAATCAAATCATTGATCTATTCATAAAAATTCAATATAACATTTTTAAGTTTTCATTTATATTACAAATTTATAGTATTTATTCTAATGAAAAAGCAATCAACGTTCTTTAAAACTTTAATCGTACTCAAGTTTTTGAGTACTATAAATTTAATCCTTTATCCTATAAATTTGAATAATCTGCATAGTTCAAAAAGGATTATTGGTAAGTAAAGATATAAAAGAAGTGTTAAGATAGAATCCTATTATTAAGCAGATTTTGATGGTGAAGAATTTGAAAGGATTAAAACAGAAAAATTGAATTAAAATATTTATAAATAATCATTTTAAAACTGTCTTACAGAAGATAAGGAAGTAGAGGATGGATCTTAGTAATCAGATATAGATTGTTAAACCGATATAAATTTATTTGAAAATATTTAGAATTATTTTGTATATAAGAAAGATTTAGATGTTTAATAAAATTCAAATATTTATCCTTTTCCAATTAAAGGACAATTGTAAAATTCTTAAGTGAAAAATGAATCAAATCTGTCATCATTATATAGTCAATCATTTGAAGAGGAATCATTAACAGAATCTAAAGAAGTCGTATAAGAACCTAAATAAACACTTCCTCTTGCAGTTAAGCCTATTTTAAATAAAGAAAAAGTAATGATTTTAGTATGGGTTAATCTGCCATCAATATATATGAATAATCTAAGGAATTTTGGTCTAAGTGAAAATTCAGAATATCCATAATAATCTGAAAATAAAGAGGAAGGGAAGGAAGCTATGTTGATAAAAGTACATTTAGTTATGTTAATTAAAAACAAAAATTTGGAACTTAATTTTTGATTTCTCTTCTTATCATTAAATGAAACTTAAGAAAATAGAAATAAAAAGGTGCGTTAAAATTCTTGATAAATGGTAAAGTATTAGAACGAAAAAAAAAGTAAATTATTACGAAGTTCCAATTAATTATCAAAAAAAACTAATAAAAACTCTAGGATATTCGTTTTCAACTAAGTTTAAATTAATAGATTAAAAATAAATGTATGATTAGAATATTTTCTAAATTGTACAATCTTTAGAAGAACAATTATTTGATTAACTTCAAAAAAAATAAAATGAAATATATTTTTGGTTCCTAATTAGAGTTCTAAATTAGATATCATAAATGCAATAGATCATGCTAAGGTTATTGTCCGTAAGATAAACCAAAATAGAAAACTAGTAGATGCTTTTAGTTCTTCCTATAGTTAAAGAAGAAGACCTGTAAAAGAGTGTTCAATAAATTAAGAATAGGCTAATGTTTATATCAATGAGGAAATGGATAAAATGAGCGATGAGTTATTTTCTAGAATTCATTATTTTTAGGCTTCTAATTATATTCTGATATAATAAGTGAAAAATACTTTAACAGACTTTGATAAAATTCTACTAAAAAAGAAAAGTCAAGGTTATTTTTAAATTAGTGTTTTTCATTTAAATTGTAAATACTTTATTATTTATTATGTAATTAATTTAATAATATATAATTGAGACCAATGAATCTGATTATCTATGAGTCTTTTTGGAATTAGAGAATATAATATAATAAGATGCAGTTTATTTCATTTGGAATATGTATACCGTTTTTAAATTATTAATGTTTTATTTTATATTAAATGAAAAAAGAATAACATCAATAAAAGAGAGACACTACACTAATACAATTGCTAGTATTATTGGGTGCTTGCTTCACTATGGGTATAGTTTTATTCAAAGTTGTGGGTTTAAGAGAAGTTTAGAATGATTTGTCATTTGAATAGGCTTCATTAATTTAAGAATAAACATACTTAGAGCAATAAATAAAAGCATTACAAAATTCATTAACTTAACCTAGCTTTTTAGAAGTCAGAATGAGTGTGAATAAGAAATAGCATAAATAAAAAATACATTAGTCTGAACATAAACATGTTGAAATATAAAAACCAACAGTAGACAAAAAAGAATATGAATACTTGGAATTACCTAATAAATTGAAAGTCTTGTTAATAAGAGATCCAGAAACAAAATTAACATAAGCAGCATTGAATGTTAATGCAGGATCATGGCATGAACCAGATGAGTTTCCTGGTTTAGCTCACTTTTTAGAGCATATGTTATTTTAAGGTTCACATACCTATCCAGAAACAAGTTATTTTGAATAATTAGTTGCAAAAGGAGGAGGTTACACAAATGCATATACAGAAGGAACTAGAACCAATTATTATTTTACAATAGATACAAGTAGAACAAGTGAGGCTTTGAATGTATTTGCACACTTTTTTATAGATCCTCTTTTATCATAAGAAATGGTCTAAAAGGAAGCAAATGCAGTAAATTCTGAATATGAAATAAATGTAGCAGGAGATGGATGGAAAATATTGCATTTAATGAGTTTAATGTCAGATCCTAAACATCCAATGAGTAGATTTACTATTGGTAATTTATAATCATTACTTAAACCTCATGTTGTTGAAGCCTTAAAAAAGTTTCATGAATAATATTATTCATCTAATTAGATGGCATTAGTAATTAAAAGTTCATAGCCTATTGAAATGATGAAAGAATTTATTGAAACAAGTGAGTTTATCAAAATTCCAAATCTGAAAATAGAAAAACCATCATTGGCTCATTTTGGATTGCCAATAAAAGATGTTGCTAAATTAGTAAAATATCACATCAATACAAGAGCAACAACAGTAATTTACTTTTATCAATTAGAAGATAGTACAAAATATTTTGAAACTAAACCTATTCAATTTATTAATTCAATAGTAAGATCAAGACATGATGGAGGATTATATAATTATTTAGTAAGTAAAAATCTCATTGTTGATATGGATGCTTAACCCTTTTTAGGTAATAATGGTTGTTTTTAATTCTATTTGATTGAAGTTGAATTAAGTGAAACTTTGATTGGTCAATAAAAAGATTATGCTTTATAAATAGGATAAGCTATAATATCATATTTTGAAGAATAGATTCATAAATTCTATGATGAAGAATAAAATCCAACAGATTTCTTAGAAGAAACTTATAAAACAAAGAAAGCTATGTCAGATGTTTAATTTAAATATTTGGAAAAAGATATAGATATATTTAAATTATCACATAATCTCAATACATTTCCACCAAAATATGTATTAAATGCAGAAACTAGTTATTTTAAATATGATCCTTAATGCATTTATAATTATTTAGCTGATCTAATGAATCCCAATAATATGTTAATTATGATTGGAGATGATGGATATAAATTGGTTTAAGAGGAAATTGAAAGTGAAGAATTAAAGGCATCCTTTTTAGCATTTTAATAGCCATCAACTTTGTTGTTATAATAGAATTCAGATGTTAGTGATGCAGATTTCATCAATTAAAGTGAACTCTAATTTTCTAATGATCTTTATCATATATAATATGATGTAAAACCAATGGAGAGAGAAAGTTTAGATTTTATGATGCTTGAAAACATTTCTTTAAATTTACCATAAATTAATC